TAAGCTTCATGAAATATTTGCAGTAGCCCCCAAGACATCCACTATCCCACTCCCTGCCCAAATCACTCTCTTTTTAGGACCCCGGGGTTCTGGAGCCTCAGAGAAACACGCCCCTATAGGTTTCACCTGCTTTGCACACCTCATCATTCACCCGCTGTCATCAGAGCTTCAGAAAAATATGTGCTTTGTTAATATGAAAATAACAAGAAAGTGCAAAGCACTGATTCAATCCCTGGTTTTAGAGTGACTTGGACCATCACTAACCATGAAAATTTTTAATTCTCTAAGAGAAACATGCAACCAGTATTATTTCCCTCTAAGGCTGTGTGGAATCAAATAAATGGTGATCAGGTTAAGTAACTCCCAATTCTGAGATACCAGCACTTCCAACAAGAGTGCGAGAAAGTGAAAATGAAACACACCTAGGGAAGCTGTTCAAAAAGTTTAAAAAAAAAAAAAAACCTGCCCAAACTGGAAGATCAATGCTGTCAAATCCAAAAGCTTGACATGTCTGAATCCAAAAATAACTCAAAGTTAGATCCCAAAATGAATAAAATGATGGATTCTTAATATAGGCTGTTAAAAGCACCACCTTGCACCTAGCCACAGTTCTCCTCAAGCAATAATTTATCTCAACAAAAGGGAACAGATGTCAACAAATTAATGCATGAAAAATGAGGTAGAAGATACAATTATTGATTTCAAATATTGCTTTTCCCTCTTAGACAGTATTTGTCTTTTTCTAAAAATAGGGGATGCTCCCAAATGTACTTGCCACCCCATGCAGAATGACTTCTGTTTTAGCATCTGTGCTGCTGAAGTAAAGGCCACCTATACCTTTTACAACAGCTGCCTTGTCAAAACAAAGCCAAATTATTGCTCAACTGAACAAGAACCTAGTAGAACTAAAATACATACAAGTATAAATTATTTCTCAAATGAAACAAAGTGCCCATCCACTGTACTGAAATACATCAATATTTACCAGCATCTGTAGCTTACTCACCTGCAAAGCTCCTCTCACTTCTGGTGACTCACTGCTCCATAGAAGGTCGGGACACTTTTCCCTCTGTGTTCTTCCATTATACCCATTCCTCTGAACACATGTCAAACAAGTTAAATAGGTATCTTCCTTTTTGCAGACCTGGTAAGTGTGTACCTGCCTGTAACTGACATTTTCTTCCCCTTACAGCAAGTATTAACTGCCATTCATCTAGGCTCCCAAATTTGTTACCATTAGCATCAGAAAATGAAAATCAGTAAACACAAAAACCAACATAAAAACAGAATTCCAGGATCTAGGTCAGTATTTTTCAAACTTTTTTATTTCACAGCACACTTGAACCTGTAGTTAAACTTCTGTGGCACCCTTATATTATGTTGATTAAAAAAAAAAAAAGAATATACTTACTGTGCTTTGAACTTCTTTTGAAAATTAATGATCTCTTTTTTTATTGAATCATAGCTATATACATTAATACTATCATGGGGCACAGTGTGCTGTTTTTATATACAATTTGAAATATTTTCATCAAACTGGTTAACATGGTTCCTCTTATAAGGGTACATGTCAATCTCTCTAAATGTAGAATATAAATGTCTTAACACAGTAACTAAGAAAACGACATGAAAATTAATGATCTTTAAAAATTTTCGTGACACACTTAAGATCCTCTCACAGCACACTGCACACCAGTTGAAAATCACTGATCTAGATAAAATTCATGTTAAAAACAGTTTCTCAAATCACACAAAGATCTTTTCAAGCAAAAGGCTAAACCTGATCATTAACATGCTAAAGGTGGCTTGTATGCAAATAGTAACAGAAAACAGAAGGGAAAACGGAAGACAACTCCTGGATACCCTACTCTAAACCACCATTAACTAGCTGAGTATTTACTAAAATCCCATTTGACAACTAGAAGAGGAAATCCAGATTTAATTACTAGTAGCGGTTGATTGTGTGACCTTACTTAGATTGAAGTTCTCTGGGCCTCAGTTGTTTAAATCTCTATGATAAATACAATTGTCAATGTAATTTAACAAATATTTATTATGTGAATAAAACAAAAAGCACTGACCTTACTCTAAATTCTGGCCTCTTTAAATTCTCTATTATCACTGACTTTTCCACTTTTAGAATAAGTGAGTTTATTAGGAATACAATAGAGAGTTCTGAATTTGATTTTAAGACAGCATGTGACTTTTTAATAGAGAATATCGGAACCACTTTACATGGTACCCATGACCAAGAAATGGTGCCAAGGTGGCCAATTCCATTTGAGCACTGATAAATGTAACCAGTGGTATTCCACCGAACTTCTTGAGACAAAGCGCTTTCTTTTTCCTTTTGCTGTTTCTGAGGCTTACCATGACAGATTGGGCTAGTACAATTACCACAGTGCTCAAGGTCAGCAAGAAGTTTAGACTCAGTTTTTACTTTACGTCAAATGAAAAAGCACAAAATCAAGTCTCTGCATTTGAAAACTGTTACAGGCCTAGGAACCAAAGAAAACATTTCTAAAATAGCTTGTTAACAAAAATCAAATCAGATCAAATTTAAAAGTTGTAGGATTTTATTTTGTATTATGAGAGAATAGCTGGCAAACTGGGAGATCTCAAACCCAAGCGGCAAGAAGCCCCATTCACAGCCTAACAGAGGAATTGTTTTGCCTTCTTTTGTGACTGTTATCCATTAACTTTTTTTAAGGGAAAGAACAGTTGAGTTGATTTGTCTATACAGTGGTCCCTCCTTATCCTTGAGAAATACGTTTCAAGACCTCCAGACGATGCTGGAAACCGAGAATACATGCAGTACCAAATATAATTTACCCTAATGCACTGGATTTTTTCCTATACATACATACCTATGACAATTTATAGACTTAAAACTTACAAATTTAATTTATAAATTAGGCACTGTAAGAGATGAACAACAATAATAAAAAGGAAAATTTATAACAATGCTCTAGCATCACTACTTTTGGGCTTTCCCACCATTAAGTAATACAAAGTGACTTGAACAAAATCCCTACAATACCTCAAGGATTTAGCTGGCTCCTGAGTGACATCACATGGGCACCGTCTACAACATGGATCTGCTGGACTAAGGGAGGATTCACCTTCTGGGAGGGACAGAGCAGGACTTCAAAATTTCATTATGCTACTCAGAATAATATGCAATTTATAAACTGTATGAATTGTTTCTTGAACTTTCCATTAAATTTTTGGATTGAGGTTGACCATGAGTAACAAACTACAGAAAGCAAAACTTTGGATACTTGGATAAGTATCCTGGGCTCAAACAATCCTCTTGCCTCAGCCTCCCAAGTAGCTAGAACTATTGGTGCCCACCACCAAGCCCAGCTTGGTATTTTGGTTTTTTATTTTTATTTTTTTTGAGAGGGAGTCTCACTTTGTCATCCACAGTAGAGTGCTATGGCATCGTAACTCACAGCAACCTTAAACTCTTGGGCTCAAGTGATCCTCTTGCCTCAGCCTCCTGAGTAGCTGGGACTACAGGTGACCACCACAATGCTCAGCTATTTTTTAGAGACAGGGTGTCAGTTCTTACTCAGGCTGGTCTGGAACTCATGAGCTCAAGCAATCCACCTACCTCGTCCTCCCAGAGTGCTAGCAGAATAATAATTTTTGACTGTGCTTATGGAATCAACTTTGTTAAATAGAAATTCCTTTATAAAATTCTTTTTGTTGCAAAGGAATTTTACATGTGATACATGACTTGCAAGCAGCATAAAAAGTTCATAGTTTTGTTTGCTGCAATGCAGTACTGACTTTGAAATGACTATCTGAATAGTAATCAAACCTCATAAAACTTTCCTCTGTATCTTTTGTGACCAATCCCACTACTCAACAATCCCAACAAAAAAATAAAGTGACAACTGGAGAGTACAATGTTAGTTTCTGAAATTTTATTATTTTTAATACATACATTTCACAAACAGAAACCCTCTAACACCACACACAATTCCACAACCAAATGCTTCAACTGTATCAACATTCTTTAACTATTTACACTGTCTTCCCTCAACAAAAGTGCAATCCAAGACATCTTGACAAGAAATCTTTACTGACAAGAATATTTTTTGAGCTGGATTTATTTGTGCCCATCCATTGTATTTTCTTTCAATTACCTGGAATAATAATAAAGTCAACAGGACATGGAAGTGAACTGGGTTAGGCAGCGTCCTATCACAGGAAACAAAAGGCTAAACGAGAGCACCTTCTCCTCACCTCCTCCCCAACCTCCAACGACAATCACTTCACTGCTGTCCCAGGAGACGAACAGAAGAGCCAACTAGAGTTACCGACCTGGCCACAGGAGAACAAACTTCATGGTAAGCATTGGTCTGCTAGGACTAAATGTTAAGGTTTGCACAAGTTAGTTTTGGTGCTGTACTAAGTTATGTATATATACATATATACACACACATATGTAATATGTATGTATATGTATATATGTCAATCTGTTAGTTTGAAGACCTATAAAGATTCTTTCTTGATAAGTTAATTTTCCCCAGATAAGAAATAACTTTTACTCAGAAAGTAAACTTCTTTAAAAAAAAAAAAAAAACCAGAAATTAAAGGGCATTTGAGGAATGCTCCTTTGTAATCAAAATGGGAATTTATCCAACTCCCTAATTTCATGGCACCATGTCTATTTTTCAAGGTATAAACCTGATACACCAGGTAGTTCAGATGTAACCAGAAGAGTGGACAGGAGAGATGGCCTGAAGAGAAAATGACCAATCAGAAATTATCTTCTCACTGAAGCAGATAATTGCATTTGTTCAAGGCATAAATCTTTTAAAAATAAATGATAAAAAAAATTGTAAGAGTAGATGAAAAATGTTTTATATTACTGAACACTATTCATCAGAGAAACAGAAACTGGACCTCTTAGGTAACTAATATACTAACAACAACAAAAATAATAATCTTTCTTGACATATTTAAATTCCAATCAAAGTACTCAGGGCAAGTGTGGGGTATTGAAGTCAGCAGATTTCCAAAATAAGATTTACCTGTATACTGCTGCCCACTCCACTTCATTTTATTCCCAATCAGATAAATTTTCCCTTTTACATAAGAATGAATTACCTTAAAGACAATAGATATTCTCAGGTACGATACTCAGGCTTCTTTTTTTACATACTGCATATATCCATAGAATCCTATCATCAAAATAATGTCCAGAAGCAATTTTACCCAATTATAATGAAACCTCATCATACTTATTTTGTAGGGAGGTAGGAAACCATCTAAAAAGAAAATATGAATTGCAGCATACACTATGCCCACAGCAGTTTTAACTTCAGGAGCTCACTGAATATAATGTAGAGGTCAACTTTTAGCTTTAGAACAATGATATAAAGCAGGTTTCACTACAAAAATTTAGGTGGGTTGAAGACCAGCATTACAAATACTTTACCATTTATTTTAAATTCAGAAATAAAATCTACATGGTATTCTGAAAACAAGAGAAACTTACCAATTTTTAGACTTGGGATACATTAGAGAATCAATAGGGAAACAGTTAATTTGCTATCACAACTTTGTGTCTTAAAGACAAATTTGCAAGAGTTATCTTTTAGTTCCAGCAAACACTATCAAAACCACAACGATTTCCTGCTTCTTATTGGCATTTTGTTCATTTTCCCCCACTGTGAAACATTTTGCAGATCATCAAACACCAAACTAGATGCAGCAAACCAAATAACAATCTTCCAAACTGAAAGATGAAAAATATTAGTTAATGCATTGGTTCTTTAATGCTGTGCTGTTTCAAACAAAACATCAAATATTTCATATAGAACTGAAACCCATTTGCAATAATGCCTAAACGCTTCTGAAATGAAAACCCCACTGAGGAAAAAAAGGTATATACCAATAAGAAACATAAAATGTTCACCATCAACTCCAAATTTGGCTATCCATAGAGTGACTATGTTTTCAGCATTCCTTTATGCTGAAACATATGCATACTATACATGAAATTATCAAGCTTAATTTTGAGAAATCATATTTCATTTCTGAACGGGTAGAGAATATCAGCCTACAGTATTAACTTCTAATGAAGAAAAGGTAGTATTTTAGATGCCAAATGTTCTGACTAATCAAGCTGTATGTATCATAATCTTTTTTTCACCAACTGTCAGGTATCATGGGATCTTTAGAATGGTCTAATTTTCAAATATGCTGTTCTGCATTATAATCAGTGATTTGCCAAAATAAAACACATTTTAAAAAGTAATATTAAGATTATTCTTTTCTTCATCATCCTCTCAAATGTTTGTTCTCTCTCCTAAGGTCAAATCTTTGATTTTGGAAACTCAGTATCTAATAGGTTAAAGGTGGACATAAGAAATTTTGGGGACAATAAGCATGTCAATACTTGGTTCTGAAACTCACCAATTAGATTCTGTGCCTGTGTAATTTACCTATAAGAAGAATCTGACACCAAATGGCACTTAGAGAATGAAACTTGTATAAATCATCACCGTCCAAATCATGTTATTTATGGATCCTCTTTAAGTGCTAGTTTGAGGAACTTCAAAGACACAATTCAAATGAGAGAATTCTACCTTTGTGCCCTCAAGTCAATATGTATGAATTCCGAATTCATTTCACATATTCTCTGTTATGTCAGCTACCTAAAAATATTTGGAATACCAATAGCTTTAATACACATAGGTCCTAAAATTGGGATATTATTTTCAGTATAAAAATTGACTGTTAAATTACAACAGTGATGGAAACAGCACGTATGCCCATTTCAAACCACCTACTGGTGCGAGTAAACTGCATGTCAGCTGTACTCGGGACAGAAGCTGAGATAAACAGACATAATACACTATTTGTTCTCCAGGCAGAATTACATTCACTTGTCACATATTCTTTTCCAAGGCCCAGGGAAGATCTAAAAGCGGGTCTTCAGAAAGTTAAGATTTTAGTAAGAGTTTCCTTCTAACTCCAATCACACTTTCAGTTTACAACCACATAATCCTCTCCTAAACTCATGCCATACTCCCCAACATTTAAAGCTGCATCAGAGACTCGTAGTGAGGGTGAGCCCCTAACCAAGCTCACAAGATTACCCACCTGGGCTCTGGTCATAACCACAGACTAACACTCAGGAATCAAGACAGGGCGAGGGGCAGCCCCCATTTTAGTGGCGCACATACACAAAGTAACCCTCCTTTAATTTAGAAAAGAAATTAATGTCACAGAATGTTTCCCTATAAAAGATATGTAATAAAGTAATAATATCAATAAAATAGCTATTACTAAAGCAAAGCTTTCATCAATAAGCTTCAAGAACTTTGAAGGAGGAAAATGGCTTCACGAAATGGTAGTCCAGGTTCCCACAGTGTGGACACTGCTGGACGTTGCTATACTCGGAGAAGTACTGCATCCCGATCCGCACGTCGATCACCGGCTTCCCACAGTGCTTACAGTTCAGGCGGGCCTGGGGAAAACAGACACTGTAAGCCGCAATACCCTTCAGGTTGGCAACACTAGTCATCTAAACCAGAATTCTGGGGAAATGATCACGGGTTCAGTAAAGCCTTCCTTTTTCTAGCAAAAGCAGGGTAAGCCTGAAAGACTCCCAACTTCTCTCATGATAGGCAGCCCTGCCAGTGGTTTCACCTGCTGATGACAAGACTAAACTAGTAGTGCATGCCTTCTTCACTAAAGTTCCCCTAACAATAGGAAATCCTTCCCCCTGGATTTTAAGACTGCCTAAAAGCTGACTTCCTTCACCTAGACCTGCATGAAACTTGTTTGAAGATTATTTTAAAAAATCACATACATTTTTCATTTTACTCCATACAACATTTGGGTTTTCTTTGATGTAAAAATGAAATTTCCCTAAAATACTCCAGCAATATTAGCAATCCAGGAAGAAGTGTTGTGCTGATCCAGAGGCTTCCTGAGCCCACCAGAACCAAGCAGCTACACTCACCCTCAGCCTCTCTCAGCAGCACGGACCTGGCACCTTTCAGCAATGGGTCTGGGACTAAAGTGAATAACTAGAAATTATAAACAAAACCGAATCTCAATAAAGATTCATTTTTTTTTAATGTGAGAAAAAAAGTATAATCTCAATTTGTCTTCCAAACATTCCTACGAAGAAGGGTGTATCATTTGCATTTTAGAAAACAAAACTACCATGCAGAGACCACTCAAAGCAGGAGAGCTGAGATCTGAACCTCAGGAGCCTGCGCTGAAGCCCTCATTCAGAGCTACTTGCCTGCAACCTGAACTGAACTCCCTTTTTGTGACCACTTCCTCTCTGAACAACACTAAAAGTGAGGTTCTAAGTAAACCTCTCTCTTTAACCTGTTATGGCCCAACTAATAACCAATTATTATTTTTGGCTCCATCTTATTAGAAGCCTTCTCTTGATTACTTAGCAGAGTTTAAAACTCATATGCCTATAAAAATATTGCCAGTTGGACTTAAAATTAAAAAAAAAAATAGTAATCAAACATGTCTTCCATTTTAGTAGAGGACCAGCTAGGCTTAAATTGTTTAAAGGAAAAAATACAGTGTCTAATGAGTACCAAGAGGCTGTGTGTAGCAGGATGCTATTCTGTTATTCACCCTAAAGATACAGAACTATTCCCACTGCCTTGGTGCAGTAGAAGGAGTACTGGAAGAAGAATGTTAAGTTTTTGTTATGGCCACAAGTTATGTGGCCCTGAGTAAAGCACTCACATATTTTAGACCTCCATTCTACATGAAAGACAAGGGGGCTGTACCAGACCTTCTCTCCTCTGCTGATGTTCTTTTTTTTTTGCAGTTTTTAGCCGGGGCTGGGTTTGAACCTGCCATCTCAGCATATGGGGCCGGTGCCCTACTCCTTTGAGTCACAGGCACCACCCCTGCTGATGTTCTCTAACAGGCCCAAACCTTCTTTCACTTCCTTATTTCTTTAATTTAAAAAATAATCCTCTGCAGTGTATGTGAAGAGTGTGAAGCCACTTCCTTTGGTTTCTGTCACTGCAAGACCTGGCAGTAAGGCACAAAAACTATCATAAAATGCTACAATGAATGATTAAAAGATGGTGATACCTCATTTCCAAGTCTAAGTTTAAAGATAAAAATGTAGTTGGCCTAATACAGTGTTCACACCTGCAATCCCAGCACCCTGAAAGACAGAGGCAAGTAGATCCCCTGAGACCAGGAGTTTGAAACTAGCTTTGGCTACATAGTAAGACCCTGTCTTTACCAAAAAACAAAAACAAACAAACAAAAAAACCCAAAATTAGCTGGCTATGACTATGTGTATCTGCAGTCCCATCTACTTGGGAGGGAAGTAGGAGGATCACTTAAGCCCAGGAGTTTGAGGCTGCGATGAGCTATGATTGTGCTACTACACTCCAGCCTAGGTAACAAAGCAAGACCCTAGATAGATCAGTAAGTGGTCAATGCACTAGAACAAGCATAAAATTAGTCAATCCTCACTGGAATCAAAAAATGAGTGGGCTACCGATGATCACTTAAATCTCTTAACAATCATATTTCTCTTCTGCAAAATATTACTATGGACAAAATATAGCTGAAATACTAACAACTTTTCAATTCAATACACACAGGTCATCTTTGGAATAAACCAGTACAGTAAGAATATTCTTTTTACAAAAATCAAGTCATAACACTGAAGATATAAACCTACACAGTAAATAAAGTATCATCAGTTATAAAAGCCAGGCACGGACACTGAAGGGCAAAGGAAAATTTTTGTCTCCTATCCATGAATATCAAGGAATTATTACCAAGAGGTGGCTAACATGTAGGGAATATTTTGTAAATATTGTATTTTGTAAAATTTTTAATGAATATTTTGCAAATAAAGGTACATTTAGCTATAATTTCCCATTTTTCCCTATGTATGGCTAACCTTTGGGACACTGTATAGGCAAGTTATTTTCTTCCCCAAACACTTGGAAATAAACCAAGAAACGTCCAAGTATTTTGTTTCCTGTGTTTTTATGAGTTTATGTAATGTGTTTTCATATGCTAATACTTCCCAATGACAGCTAAATTTCAAATGTCCTCTTACCAGTAGAAAATGCCTTGTCTTACGAGTGCTTTAAGAATTACCAATCTTTTGTGTCAACCTTGAACACCTTACACAGCAGACAACTCCTAGCAACTGCATTATCTCACAGAAAGGGAAAAAAAATCTTGTCTCTTAAAGAAAGAGAAACTTTCTTCCTCCTTTTAAATAATAACATTTTCTCATTAGAAATATAGTATAAGCTAATCATACAAAATATTAGAAAATATGCACAAGCAGAAAAAAAACCACAGAACCACCCAGCCTCCTACCACCAACCATCTATAACCATCTGGTAACTTATCAGCAGATCCCTTTTCGTGTTCACTTATTTACAAATTTGAGTATGTTACTATGCCATGTTAGCACCTGCTTTTTTGATTTAATAAACTGACAATACTTCCTACACACTAGTCCACTAACTGGCTACATCACAATGCAGTAAATCTGCCATCACTGTAGGGCTTTGGGGGAGTTTTAAGACTGAACTTCTTCTATTTACTTGGGGACAGAAGCCTAGTATTGCCCACTGCTCCTGCCCCCTCGGTGGGGTTGATACCAACCTGACAGCACGGAGAGGCAGCCAGGATGTCGTAGGTGTACATGGTGCCCAGCTGGTGCCAGCTACCATCCCACCGCGACTTACACTTGATGCAGATGATCTTGTGAACCCCTTCCAGGCAGTCCACGCATACCGCATATAGATGCATGAGTCTCCCTGTGCACAGAAGAACAAAGCTCAGAGCAGCTACCATGAAAATCACATTTTATGTCCAATTATAAGCAAATACTTTATCATTTGGATAAACATAAAAAGCCAAATATATTTATCACACAAGCCATCCTTTTAAAATAATTATCAATTACTATTGTCATAAATCATATACTGTAGGTTCAAGCTTATTAAGAACTTGCTTCAATTAATTTTCCAAAAAGTGCTGCTAGGTTTACATAATTTGTGTGTGTCCATCCAAATTCCAATAATGAAGCCACACTTAATCAAAACTAGCCTATACTGTATTCACTCAGGACTTTCTACGCAAAAGTCACCATGTGGCAGATGCAGACTGAACCAATGCTGCTGGTTTTGTCTTGGGCTCTCACCCACCAATTCCCATTTAAAAAAAGTCAAAGTCTGCCATGAAATTGATAGCCCAGAATTACACCATAGCCAAAATTACTATGTTAACTGTCCTTGTCCCAAAAATTGCTCAAACATAACCACATCTAATTTAGGAACCAGAATTACATCTTACTTGTAAGTAACTTTTTAAAAGTAGTTCAATGTCTTTATTATAATATTTACTTGGCTCTTAAACACTGAAATCCCATCTTGAATTATTTATCAACCTCATAATGCTTATAAAGGAAAGATGTCATTGTAGTTTATAGGAAAGGCTCAGAGTTCAAATGACTATGAAAGAGAAAGCACGTCCAGGATCTGCCTGGGTGATGTATAACAACAACAACACTTCTGCTCTCTTGCACGAACTGGGCAGCTCCAGGAATCAGGAGAACACACACTACTATATGGCTTCTTAATCAGAACATGCTGCCCACTGCCAGCAGTCAGACTGTGGGGTCTTTGCAACTCAATCAGTAAGAACCAACCTGCTCCTTACCCTTTAAGTACCCCCAGTACTTAAAAGGGAACCCTTCTATTATATTTGCTTACATGGCACTCTCCCTCCATGAGGGCAAGAACCAGGTCTTATTCATCTTCGTAGACTCAGTGTCTAGCGCAAAGTCAGGAATGTGGAAAGTACTCTGTTAAGTGTGTGTTGGGTGAATGGATGGGGTATGTTAATAGTCAAAGACAGCATGCCCTTGGAGACCTCTATGCCCAAAACAGTGACAAGTGCTTCTTACAATACTACCCACTGAACTAGGGCACTGGAAAAAATAAAAAGGTGTCACACACCATGCCCTCTCTAAGTAGCCTCAGGGCATGTCAGGAAGTGAATTCAAGTATTGGGAGCCCCTGGAAAATGCTCCATTATTAATCTATCTGTCCTAGACTTACTGTAACTCTCCATCCAGGAAGGGTGAGGGCAGAGTTGGACACAGAAGCCAGGTGCTGATAACAATGGCTATGACAATGAAGATAAGTCACTTCTTTTTTTTTTTTTTTTTT